CCCTCCACCCCCCCCCCAATTTTGACAAACGTTGTCACAATTTTCGTACAGGCGAAAATATCGCTAAACCATGAACACGTTTTCCTCCATGAAGAGTCCCTATTTTCAACAACTGCCCAACATGTGATGTTTTCACTACTATGATCTTGGGACAGCTGCAGCTAAGCACAGCTGAAAAAATTCAAAGTACAAATTACGCGGTCAAACTGCGAGAATTTCCCTTCTGCTAGTTTGTTTGCGCATGCTTTGCAACAGGGGTGTCAAACTAAAATGAGCCGATGGCCGCAGGAGGTAGAGTCTGAGTAAGACTGGGCCGCATCAAGTACTCGACCAAAAAAAAAAAAAAAAAAGCGATCACAAATTCAATAAAGTACAACTGTTACAATCTGCTTAAACTTTATTAATAACCAATTAAATCCTTAAGGTTTCTCAAGAACTATGCTTCACTTACTTCCTCCCACGCCTTTTTTGCCAGAGACCTATACAAACATAATGAAAATCAGAATTAGAGTAGTCGGTGAGGTTCGAATTTCACCCGTCGCGGAGGGTCACATTATACAAATGAGGAGAGGGAAAGCGCGCGGGTGGCATTCATACTTAACTTTGCTGTCAGGAATCGGGTCGCAAAATATCGTCTTGCGAGGCCGCAAATGGCCCTCGGGCCGCCAGATTGAGACCCCTGTTTTACAGGCATAAATAACAGACTGAGAGGAAAACACAGACACAATGTGAGGTAGACACAAGGGGAATAACACTGAATGGCGGCGTGCACCGACTGATACAAATGACCCGTGTTGTCAAAATTGAATGGATGAAATACAAATCTAGAGCATAAACAAACACAAATTAAAATATTAAAATGAAACAACAGTGAATATGTCATCGAAAGTTTATTGAAGATAGAAAAATTGTGCAACACGACACTTGGTAGGATCTTGCTACGGAGAACATGGCGTTGTTAGAACTAAGCCTGTTTCTTTTATTCATACACATAAATGGAACTATGCTTTGATCACCACGTAAATATGTATTTATTTTTTGCAGATTGATAAACATTCTGAATGTGTGATTTACAATGTATTTTTTTAGTTTTTGTTTCAAATAGATCTTCATGCGAAGTAAATATTTTTGTGTTTGTTAGTACTTGCTTTCTTGATAAGCATATTAAATGGATGTTTGTTGAGGATTTATAAATTCCACACCAACAGCTAATACTGAAGTTCAAAGGGATTCCCATTCTTACAAGGTAAAATATGTCAATAATTTTTTTGTTATACCGAAAATGTAATATAAATTGTTGAAACATATAGTCTAAAGGTATTTGATTGTTTCTTTTTTTTTTAAATATCGAATTAGACCGTGTTCTCCGAGCTTAAAAAGAGGACGTATATAGGGTCCAGCCGTATAAATGAAGTGGCTATTATAGGTTGGGATGGCACCATAATATCCGGTTGGCTTGGAAATGTAAAATATATGGCTTGGGAAAGGTTCATGCTAAAAAATGGACGAAGCTGTATCGGTTACAAGGCTGGAAACCTTTAAAAAATGACTTATAAGTATGAATGCCAAGCCTGGAAACTTTAAAAAATGACTCATAACTATGAATGCCAAGGCTTGAAACCTTTATAAAAATGACTCATAAGTGTGAATGCCAAGGCTGGAAACTTTAAAAAATGACTCATAAGTATGAATGCCAAGGCTGGAAACCTTTATAAAAATATAGGATTCTGAATGCAGTAAATAAAACCCATTCAATTTCTCTTTCGATAATAAAATTGTAACTCTCACATAAACACGTCTAATAATCAACTATGGAAAAAATAAGATTAGGAAAATAGAAACACTGCAAGCTGTCGTTACGTTTTGGGGTAGTATTTACATAAAAAGACATCTGAAATGAAGAAATTATAACAATTCATAAGTAAACAAAGTTATAAAAGGAACGTATAATTAAAAGAATGGACGAATAAATATGAATTAAAGACAATCACTTGGTAAGTTAATGTTAAGAAACGTGTACATGTATGCTAAGTCCTTGCATGGTGACCTCGTTAGAGAGTACCCCTCAGGATAACCGTCTAATAAGGTTATGTTACGTTGTATGTGTCCTTGATGAACTAAACATACGTCATACTCGTATATTCTTCTCGATATATCGAGACCGAATCTGGGCACGGGAACCATCATGCCCTCAAAAATGGACTCGCCCAAAGGAAATACCATTCTCGTGGGGTAAATAAATGTTGTTCTGATATAAAGTGTAGCGGCCCACACGTAGGATTCGTCCATTCTGTAGAAGAAAATATCTACAAACGGAAATGTCAAATTACTGTAGTGAAACTTCCAATGAAAGGTACCATATTTGTATAACGTGAAGCCTTGTATACAAGACAATGTCTCCTCGACCCGTTTCCAGGAGTCGAGACTGACTGATATGTCCACGTCATCGTCCCAGGGGACGAAACCCTTGTGTCTGCTCAAGCCTAACAAAGTCCCAGACACCAAGAAATGTTTCACACCAACAGAGTCCAGGGCCGCAGCAGCTACTTTATATAAGTACAAAATCTCAATTTTCTGACTGGTGTTCAGGGTTGGCAGGAATCGTCCGTGACCTTTCTTTAACACATCCCGTTTAACTTCCAGAACCTGCAAATGTTCGTAAGTCAGTACGCCCGAGATGTTGACGTCACTTTTGTTCAACGAAGGTTTGTAGAAGACTTTGCAGGTGATATTTGACAGCATCTCCACACGACCCGTTTCCTCCCTGTGCCGGAGCCTGACGAACACCGGGGTCTCAACGTTGCGCCAGGCGTGGTCCTCCATGACCGGGTAGAGCAGATAATTGCGCACGGGAATAACGAAGACTGTCATGTACATGAAGTTCATCGAAGAGAGCATCAGGGCCAGTACCTTGTACTTCCAACTCCACACTGTGCGCAAAATGTTGTACTTTGTTGAAGGTGATAACATGGTCATCTCTCAAAAAGAATCTGAAGTCCGCGTTTAGGTAAAGTAAGTTATTTCCGCTGGCGACGGTGTAGACAATGTAGTGTATAACCTTAGAGTGAGATACGTAGGCGGAAATAATACAACAAGTATTTCTTCGACTAGGTCTTTGTTAAGTTTATACTGAGTAATTTCCCATTTTTTTGTGTGTGTTCAGACACAGCTATGTTCTCTTGTTGTATTCGGACACACTTATGTCGAATTGTTGTCTTTGGAAACACTTATATGTCCAATTGTTTTTTTTCCGTACACACTTATGTACCCTCGTTTTATTCGGACACATCTATGTTCCCTTGTTGTATTCGGACACAGTTATGAGTTCTTGTTCTATTAGGACAAAGCTATGTCCACTTGCTATACGCGAACGCAGGCAGCTATGGCACTAATGGGGGTCCGTGGACTCTTTGCGTGTTTCCAGTTTAAGCGAAGATTCCTCATTTCCTACAACAGGACGATCAGAGAAGGAAAAAAACAACAACAACAAAGTTCTAATCGCTTAAGCCTGTTCGCACCAGGCACACATTATGCATAGGTCTACCATACATCCCGTTTGGCCGGGCATCGTTCCAGGTCGGCGAAACCGTCGCAAAACTTCCGACCTGTGTCAACAGTGTCGAGACGTCAATCTGAGATTGAATGACATGACTATTGCCCTGTCCTACAGTCCCGTACGCAATGTTTAGATCAATGATTTTGTGGGTATGAAGTTCCCTTTACAAAATTAATGTAAACAAAAAGCTAATATTGTGCGTGTAGAGAGCGTCAATTGCGTTTATTCATGTGAAGAGCCCACCCCCCCCCACAACACACACTGTTTCCGGACGCATGTCGTACCAAAAGGCAGCCCACGTCTGAATTGGCTTGTGTAAACCATCTGATCTAACTGCTAAACGTTCGAAAAGTAAATCCGACGCTATAGTTGTGATGCCTTGTTGGCGTATGTTGGGTTTATAGTCACAATGTTAGGTGCTAGGGCAGCAGTTCCCAAATCTGTGGGTCGCGACCCTTTGAAATATTTAAGTAGGAAACAAAAATACGACAAGGGGGTGCGGTCACCACAACACGAGGAACTGTACTAAAGAATTGCGGCCTGAGAAAGGTTGAGAACCACCGCGCTAGGGTGTTTGGGGTCATGTTTATAGTTAATGCTAATGACTCGTAGATGAAAATAAAATGCTTGTCATCGATGACGAAATAGTAAACCCAGGTTGAGGGCGGTTCTCTTAGGCCGCCGTTTCGTCCCAGCTACTGGATGTAATATTTAACTTATGAATCAGGAGTGCTCGTGCCTGCTTTAGTCTGTCTTAATACTACCACAAACTATGGGGTCGAAAGCACTGCGGAACTTTTCACAAGAGAGTGCAAGGGAAGATCTCCTTTACCCGAATTGAAGGATCTGCTCTACTGGTTTAGGTCTTGTCCCCGGGAAATGGGGGGGGGGGCAAGGACAGGAACCGGTATTAGAGTCATTTTCATCTTGGCGACATACCCTAATGAAAAAGCAGATCCACCATCCTAGCATTTCAGGAATACCCAAGGGTGCCACCCTTTATTGGGAGGGGGGTCATAACGGGAAGGGGCCGCTTTCAGATCCTCTCTCCCTTAGCTTTAGGGTGAGGACGCGTGTATGTTGCGACTTGGGTTTTTTCGGTGAGTCTATAAAAATCCTTAGAGGTTTTGGGCCACGATTTTTTCTTTTATTTTGTAGAACAAGTATGAACAAGTTTATTTGTTAATTTCAGACCTCTTTGACAATGATGCCTTTGTCTAATGCTACGCCGTAATGCCCCCCCCCCCCAACTCCTTTTCTGTTTCTTTTGAGAAAATAGACGTTTTTTATTTGCTAGAGTTTACAATCAGCATTTTCTTATGACTAAAAATTTTTTTTTTCTTTTATTTTGTAGAACAAGTATGAACAAGTTTATTTGTTAATTTCAGACCTCTTTGACAATGATTCCTTTGTCTAATGCTACCCCGTAATGCCCCCCCCCCCCAACTCCTTTTCTGTTTCTTTTGAGAAAATAGACGTTTTTTATTTGCTAGAGTTTACAATCAGCATTTTCTTATGACTAAAAATTTTCCCCCATCAATAAATTTGTTGCGCAGAGATTTCTGACGAAAAAAAAAATATTCCTAGAAAGTAGATTAAAAAAAAAAAAATGAAATTATGAGTAATCCTACTAATCACTTAATAAACAATACACACAAATTTATTTAAGAAATTGGGTGGTGTAACGCCTGAACGCTACAAGGGGCTAGCACCCAAAATTTTGCAGCCCCACCACTCACACCTATTATATAATAATTGTCATATTCTAAAACAAAAGATCTCTCGCGATGGTGGCCTGCTTTTCCCCTACACATTTACGCTACTAATAATACCTATCGATTTAGGTGTCCCTGTCTCAACCTCTTAATAATATGGTAAGCATAATTATTATGTAAACTTAATTAAAAACAAGCCCTTGAAGGGATATGGTGAGATTCCCTGAAAAACACATAACTTAAAAAAAGCTAGCATTCGGTTTAAAACACATGTACTATTGACTGACCTATCTATCTATCTATCTATCTATCTATCTATCTATCTATCTATCTATCTATCTATCTATCTATCTATCTATCTATCTATCTATCTATCTATCTATCTATCTATCTATCTATCTATCTATCTAT